TCATGGAGAATCAGGGTAAGGCTGGGAGGGAAAACATGTTCTCTTACATCCCTGCTTGGATCTAACAGCTGCTGGGTAGAAACATCCCAATCAAGCTGTCAAGCAGCCTTCTCCGCCAGGCTACGGCGAACCATTGCAGAACATTTTGTTCAGCCATGGGAAAAAAAGCACAGCAACAGATTACAGCATCTCTCCCACTAAAAGCGAGGTGGAGAGGAATTTGCTCCAGGTTCCTCTCCATGGAATGTAGATGCTAGCAGAGGCGAGAGTGGGTGGGACTGGGGGGGGGAATTGCTGGAAGAGTGACAGCACACTAGTAAACACAGATTCTTGGGCGGTTTTAGGTTCAGGAGCTGTCTTAACTCCAAACAGCTGGCTGAGCAAGCAGAAGAATCCTCCCAAAGACACTGGACAAGATCAGTGCCGTACTTGGATTCAAACAGGTATTAGACTCTGCTCCACCCGTAGCCACATCTTGGACTGCCTCTTCTCTCTCTATACCACTGAACTGCACACGCAGGCTTCAGGTGCCCTGAAAAAGGCCACCTGGTCTACAGAGGTGAGGGAAGAGTTGCTGGGTGTGGAGATGCCCAGTGGCGTTTCTGGGAGAGCCCTTCAAGATGCTCACGGCTACTTCTTTGAAGCTTAACCCTGTGTTTGTGCAAGGATGGCTCTCACAGCTGCTCACTTCAGTTCCAATTAAAGAACATCACCAATAGCTAGCAAAGCTGGGTAGAAGCCTCTTAAGTTTATATACCCACTTTGCAAATTCCCCCGTCCAAGGGATCAGGTTGGAATCCAACCTGAATATGCCTGCAGATTCCAAGTAAATTCTAGGGATATCCACAGAACTTACTCCCCAGCAAAAAAGACGTTTCACAGATTACATGGTTTAATGTAATAAGGAGAAATGCTTCCAAATTTAGAGAAAGAAAATACAGATATTGGAATACCCCCCCACAAACCCCAAATTTGCTTTAAATAACCAGAGAGGTACCACTGAGTTTTACATGTGCTTAAACAAAAAATACCTATTTTTAAAAGCTTTGGGAAAAAAATCTCCACAGGAGCAGACAGGCACTAGAAATTCCACTGCAGTGATAATATTCGACAAACCTGCTGAAGTATTATTGCTCCTCATCAGCTCTGTAACTCACCAATTGTGAACGCATATAAATAAGTTCAAAATTATCATAAGGGCTTGCTATTCATCCAGAGTCAGGTGTATTACTTTTCAGAGGGGGGGACGCTTTACAGAAAGGAAAGAATACTTAAGCAGCTGTCTCATTGAACTGTCCCATGCCTCCATTTCTGTCTCCTTAAGATGATCATTATGCTTCAAGGTTTTGCTGTGTGAACCACAGCCTTCACTGTGAGATGCAGTTGCTTTCACCTTCGCCTCTGCAATACTGCTTTTTATAGATTCTTGTCCTGCTTCCGCCCCGTTTCCCCCTTTCCCCTCAAATGTTTAGCTTATATAATGGATTTTTTGTTAATAAACAACAACGGCACACAAATCTAGTGTATTTACTTGGTTACATCTTGAGGGCCTTCTCGAATAACTGACAGCTGTATTTTGGAAGAGACAATCTGCATCTCTCTCTCTCTCTCTCTCTCTCTCTCACCCCTTCCCGGTCAGTGGGTGCATATGGATAAATGAAATTACGTAGCTGGTCAGTCAAAAGTAGGTTGCCAAATCCATGAGCATTTTAAACAAGGACAAAAATGAGAAACTAGAGTTGCTTAGCAATTATCACTTATAATAAGTTTTCCTGTCACACCTCTTATGTGGAAATAAGTCTCACTATCACACTTAAAGCCCTCTTTTCCATACTTTCATTTTTCCTCCCTATAATAAAATAAAAGTACAAAACAGTACTTCTTAACACCCCAGTGCAAATTCCTGTTTGGATCATGTGTCCTAATGGGTTTGCCAGAAAACAACAGCCTTACTAGCCCATTACGTGCTGGAAACTCTCTTCTTAGAAGCTGAAAAAGGTTTGTCAAGGTAGCCTCAATGCACACCGAAATCTCTCTCATTTTTTTTCTTTCCCATCCCTATAAAACAGGCCAATTGTATTTCTTCACAGAAAAATGGACTGAATACTGTCAGTTTTATTGGCTGCCACTGTTATGAATGGTCTCTGCAAGTTTTGTTTATTTGGGGAATGTGCTTAGATCCATTGTTACGTTGCATTCTGCCCACCAGTTTATACACCTGCTCTGCATGCATGCAAACAATCTTTAGTGAATGATGAGAATAGGAGATCTTTCTGTTTTTATCTGTCTCACCATCAAGTGAGAAATTAACTTCAACTCTTGATTTTATACATACTGTTTGATGGTTTCCCCATCTGTATCATGAATTTAATATTCTTGATCAGAGGAACTAAGAGTTTGGCTTTCATTTCAGAAGATGTGAATAACAGAAAACATGTAGGAATGTTATAATAATGATAATAATAATAATAATGATAATAATAATAATAATAATAATAATAATAATAATAATAATAATGATGATGATGATGATGATGATGATGATGATGATGATGATGATGATGATGATGATGATGATGTGATCCTAGTGACAGTTGGGTTTTAGTCATGACCCATAAAGGTTCAAAAATAATGTGATCCTGAGGTATTTTTTTATTTTTCTAACTTTTGCTTGCAGGCAAGTTACAAAACATTGTGTCCATATGCAGAGCACAGATGGGTTAGATAATGATATTGAATTAGGTAATAAGAATTTTGTCACAAAATAGTGAACCTTGTCACTCAGGTCACATCTTTCTTTTTCTAAGGTAAACCCGCTTGACAGACAGCAGAAATAATAAGTAAATCACAGAGACAGCAGAAATTTGGTTGCCTGCTGGACATCCTGTATAAACTTTCCAGGCTTTCAAATAGGGGAAAAAGGAAACAGGAACTGCAGGAAAGAGTTAAAATGTGCACCTAAATTAGCTGGGATCACTGTGTGTTAACTCCCAGAATCCTTCCCTTCTTCTCCCTTTAAAGAATCTTTTAAATGCCTGAGGAATAGGCAGAGCAGATGCTGTGGATGGATTTCACCCAAGATGCGGGAAGTCTGTATTGGTGGCAGAACAGCCTCTTTGTTCACCCTCTGCTGCCTAAAAAGGCATATATATAGTCCTTACATGCCTTCAAAAATTTTAATCTCCAGCATTGATTTGTACATTGATCAATATTCATAGTAAGAGGTTTGAATTTTAGGGAGGAACACACACAGAGACTGTTTCTTTCCCCGTTCAGGAATCGAATCCTCAAAATTCTGGTGTATAAATAAAATCCTTGAGAACTGTAGGTTGTATCTAAGTTTTTTTAAAAACTCAGATGACAAAGCCCAATTTCTTTGTCCTTGTCATTGATTTATATGGCTGTAGTAGAAATAATTCTGGAGGGACGTGGTGGCGCTGCAGGCTAAACCGCAGAAGCCTGTGCTGCAGGGTCAGAAGACCAGCAGTCGTAAGATCGAATCCATGCGACAGAGTGAGCGCCCGTCGCTTGTCCCAGCTCCCGCCAACCTAGCAGTTCGAAAGCATGCAAACGCAAGTAGATAAATAGGGACCACCTCGGTGGGAAGGTAACAGCGTTCTGTGTCTAAGTCGCACTGGCCATGTGACCACGGAAGATTGTCTTCGGACAAAAACGCTGGCTCTATGGCTTGGAAACGGGGATGAGCACCGCCCCCTAGAGTCGAACACGACTGGAGAGAACTGTAGGTTGTATCTAAGTTTTTTTTAAAACTCAGATGACAAAGCCCAGTTTCTTTGTCTTTGTCATTGATTTATATGGCTGTAGTAGATATAATTCTGTATTATAC